ATATATATATATATATATATATATATATATATATATATATATATATATATATATATATATATATATATATATATATATATATATATATATATATATATATATATATATATATATATATATATATATATATATATATATATATATATATATATGTAACTTGACTTTATCTGGTAGATATCTATATGGATCAAAGTATCAGGCCATCTTTTCAGTGTAGTTTTGGTAGTGTTTGCTAATGTGCATCCTAGCTGACCCAGTTTCGTGACTGAAAAGGTTAAAAGGTCATTTATTTGGGAATAGTGAGTGTGTGGACTGTTGTGCACGGTAGATGTTTATGCTACTTGATGAAATAGCTTGATTTTCTGGAGATGAATTTGGACTAGAAGAAGTTGATTTTGTAGCAGAATAGCTGGGGACTGGTGTAATGGAGAGTTGTGGAAAAGGCTTGGTGCTAAATTGTGTATTATTGGTGAATGGACAGTTTTGCAAACTATGGTCTTCGAGTTCGAAATAGCTCATTACTGAGATTACTGATCTTTTTAACGCGAGATGTAGCTTTTTATCTTGTTCTTAATTATCTTTCCTACTTTTTTCTAGGAATATTGGTGTAAAAGGCTGCATCCTAAGAATGTATGTGAGAAAGTTTACAGGCAACCCCCTCTGCGAGATTCTCTGAGAAAGGGAAAGCTGAAAAAGCAAGAATTCTCCCTCACAAAGCAAAAGGCAGCTCTTTTACAGGCTGCAGATTCTATCGGCAAGAAGATCCAGTACCATTGCCCTGGATTCCTGCCCAACAGACGTCAGGTGATTGTTGATAAGAATGTTTTGGTAGGAAGCTTATGTTGAATTGTGAAAATAAGAAATGCCAAAATATTGTTTGCTTTTCCTGATCATCAGTGTACAGCATCTGAAAGCAAATTATTTCCTTTTATATATTGTGAAGCAAATTATTTCCATTTATATGTTTCAAACTTTATTGTGAAGTCATGCCTGGTTCATAAGAAAAAAAGTATTCGGTAATAATCTTCTATAATTAGTTTAGATATGATTTTTATGTGGCATTTTAGGGCCCAATGAGTCTATATTTCATTTTCTTTGCATTTAACAAAGCTATATGTAATTTAGACTAAATTATGGACTTCAAATTAATTCTTGGTGGTCTCCTATTATTTGAACCTTCTCCAGTATCGAATGGCTGGCCTTGCTGCTATAGAGATTGCACAAAAGGTTGTAAAGGTTTGGCGTTCTCTACAAACTGAATGGAAGATATCTACTAAAGGTGCATCAAAACATGGGAAAAAAGTCAGGAGAAAAGAAAAACTCAACCCTCCTAGTTTTAACAGAGGTGGGGCCGGTTGCAGCACAAGCAGTTTTCTAGAATCATCTACTAATAGTGCAGTAGAAGATAAACCATATGGACGTCCTTCATTGCCATGGCACGCTATTTACTCGTTGGCTGTCAAATGGAGACAGATCTCTGAACCATGTGACCCAATTGTCTGGGTTAACAAGCTGAGGTATTTATATTAGTTCATTTAGTACATCTAGGTAGGAAATCTTTTGAAGCAGGGTCTTAGGGGGAATTGACTACTATAATTGGGAAGTTATGGGAAATTGGTTGGATAAGTTTTGAATTTATTTCAATTTATTTCTTAGTGATAAATAATGTGGCAAGTAAATTAAATATCTACTATGCGAAAGAATAGAAATATGTGTAAATGCTAGTGGTACCAGGAGCCTCTCCCATAGTGATTTTTGATGGGAGGTCGGGGGTCCGAACCCCTTCGGGTGCGTGTGTTGGGTAGCATGTGTTGTAAGGCCATATTATAAGGACAATTTATTAAATATAATATTATATATATATATATATATATATATATATATATACACACACACACACACACACACACACACACACACACACATATATATTTATATACATATGCTGATTGCTTATAAGTGTGCTTTCTTGTTATTTAGTGAGGAATTTAATTCTGGATTTGGATCACACACCCCTCTTATTCTCGGGCAAGCCAAAGTTGTACGCTATTTTCCAAATTTTCCGAGGTAAAACTATACTGTTACTTTTAGATACGGTTGAAATCTTTATTAGTTTAATAAAATTTCTATGTTGTAAAAAGAATGTCATCCTCTCTTTATGAAAAACTATGGGACAAAACTCGCTCAATAATTGTTCATCTGCAGAACTTTTAATGTTACCAAAGCTGTAATAAAGGAGAATAAGTATGTGCACAACAAGAAGGACCATCTCATCAATCTCTATGAAAATGGGAAACTGCAAGAAGTAAGTTACATTTTTTAACAGATACAAAGCCAAATATGTTACATTTTGGTTTTTCATTCATATGGATTCTGCTAATCCCTCTCAAGGTAGCTCCCTTTTTTAAACTTTCTATCGGCAGACACACTGTTGCATCAGCGCAAAATACCCTTAAGTGGATACTTTTCATTTCATAGTGGAAAATCGGTTTCTCATTTTTGGGGGATATATTTTAATGCACTGATGCTGAGAGTTACTCTTTCTGAGATGGCACAATTCTAGTGCTTCCAACTCCAAAGTTATGTAAACTTGTATTCGGGAAACAGTCTTGTGTGCACGATCTCCTCACGTTATTGGTTGTTCATCACAGTAAATCTGAGGAAGAAGCTCCAATATATGCCTAGGGGGTTTGAGAACTTATAAAGCAATGGAATCATATTGTTTGATTTGGGCTAACTTCAATTATTATTTATTATTCTCCTACTTTTTCGCGGCACGGACTTGTCAATACATGCACTATTTTTCTTGTTTCTTATCTTCTTGAACACATTAGTATCATTTTCATATTCTTCTTTTGGGATTTTATGTTTTGTGATCTCAAAGGTGATCACAACCTGACTTTCAATTTGCAGGTAATGAATGCAGAATCCTGCTCAGATCTTCACAGAGTTGTGGGCGAAGACTTTTGGTTGGCTACTAGGTGCAACAGTATGACAGTTGAGGGGTAAGTTATGTGTTAAATATTCATCATTATGAATTCTATCAACTTTTATTTACACAACAATCTTATGGTATGAGAATTGTGTGGATTCACCTACTTAGATCCCTCTGGTCATGTTTCTTATTTCAGAAAGCGTCTTGAAGGAACTAGGATCTCCCTTGAGAAAACGTAAGCTACATCTCTTTTTCCGGAGCTGCTGACTGACAGCATATACCAATTCATTTGTTCACTGCCCTTTTTGAAACCTTTCATTGTTTAATTTGATCCTTCCAGGGACCAGATGGGGTACGATTTTGCTATCAAAACACCTTGTACGCCTTCTAGATGGGATGACTTTGAATTGGAAATGACTTCAGCATGGGAGGTATGTCTTCCGATTAATTCCTTCTGAATCAGTCAGTAGTTGAACTTTCTTCAACTTTTTCCGGTATCTTTTTTTAACTTACAAAATGATTTGTATAACATATATTTCACCCTTTCTGAACCTTGAGCTCGAGAATCATAGGCTGTTGTGGATGGAAAATAATTAAATGCGAGTGTCGTTGTAATTTGGTTACTTTCTGAAAGTGCAACAATGTGCTTTATGACTTTATGTAATCCAGGATTCTTCTAACAAAGTCTTGTTTTTTCTCCTTGTAAATGCTCATATGCCCTGAATACCCTCGTATCCATTTAAATGCTTGCAGCCTCTTTGTCCTGTTAAACTTACACAAAATGTCATCACATATCTGCATAACTTCTATGCACATCCAGAAACATCGTTTTGATATATATAGATATGTGCAGGCACTCTGTGATGCGTATTGTGGTGAAAATTACGGGACAACAGATTTTGATTTGCTTGAGAATGCGAGGGAGGCAATTTTAAGGATGACCTATTACTGGTGAGGGTTGTGTTAAATTGCATGACAATTAAGCACATTGGATTTAGTATTGTCCTGTTGTATGATTTAGGCTTAAACTACTGTCTTTTAGGTATAATTTCATGCCACTATCTCGAGGCACTGCTGTAATTGGGTTCGCTGTGTTGCTTGGACTTTTTCTCGCCGCCAATATGGAGTTCACCGGGAACATTCCGGAAGGTGTTCAGGTGGATTGGGAAGCAATACTAGAACCCGATCCTCATTCGTTTATATCTTCTGTAAAAAGTTGGCTATATCCTTCTCTCAAGACTAATACATCGTGGAAAGGGTACCCTGATGTGGCATCGACTCTCGAGACTACAGGATTAGTTGTTGCTGCTTTGAGCACTTAACTCCGATTGAGAAATTCTTACAGGTAACTTAGGTTTCATTAATGTTATTCTCAAATTGAAAGTGGTTAGTATATAGTTAGCTAGTCTTGGTTGTAAATAATAAGTCCTCGAAGTTCAAAACCACTTCAAACTTTTTGAAGCTTTCGTGTTTATATTTTATCCAACTTCGGCTATTTATATTTGCTGCGTAATATCTGTGTGCAGAGCTCCGAACAAGATGGCTTGGCTTGGTAGTATGAAACAATTCCTTTTCGTTCGGCATTCTTACACAAGGGAATAATGTTTTCATACTTAGGTAGAGTAAAATGTACCATTAATTCTTCAGTAACTGTTGTATATCATGGTTTGTAACTATAGTTTTTCTTGTAAGATAGTGTAACTCTTTTTTCCTTTCTTTCTTTTTAAAATTTTAAAATTTTCGTTTGGATGAAATAATTCAACAATGAATTTTAAATTCGAAAGTATCAATTTGAACTATATTTTAGATTATTACGCTGGAACAATACTTTCTTCAATCCAATTTCATTAGAATCCATGTGCAACCCATTCACTAATATTCTATGTATCATGTGACATGATCAGTCAGATAATACTATTATTACACAATGTCGGAAAGCTATTAGACTAATAAAAAATTCCAAGAGCTCAATTATTCAATTAATTAGTATAATTTATTTATGACCAAAATTGAAGATTTTTAATAACATAACTAATTAATTATATATTACAGATAAATTGGATGGGGGCTAAAATTGGTAGAAGAATCCATTGACGGTGGCATGGTCTAGTCAAGCTTTCTCAACACATGTCCATAATCATCGCCTTCCAATCACAATTGTAATTTCCATGTGGGCGGGACCTACCTACACACACATTTGCAGCTGTAGGAATCCAATATGACAATTAGCACCTAATATAATCTGAAAATCAGAAAAAAATAAATTTATCTTATGCTGATAACTTATCTTCTTGGCCAAATTAGCTCCTCCCTCAAAAATATTTTTTTTATAGTTAAAAGAATACGCGATTCTTTGCTATTTGCTAAAGATTCTTTTTGCGAGTTTAGAATAAGTATTACACATATAGCTTAGTTACGTAACTTAGTTATATTCAGTGTTCATTTGCTATGGAATAGAAATTATGTAGCTAAGTAAAGTGAATCAACAAAATACGTAGATTTGATTATCCAAATGACTATTGTACGTGAATGTGATTATATGTTCGTGTATGAGTGGTGTGTGTGTGTCCTACGGAGTAGAATTTAGAACGAAAATCCTTCCACTAATTCCAATTTGAATATATATCTGATTTTGAGAATAATATTCATCATTCCAAAAGTTAATTTGCATTTTTTTTAATTTAAAACGGAATTGAAATACATATTACATTAGAAAAAAAACCAATCAAATTTAATTTATTATAATAAAAAAGAACGATAGCTAAAAATGCAAATCGCGTAATACAGCCCAAAACCCAATCACAAATTGGGCCCAGTCCAGTCTGCTTTTGTTTCTTGCCTTTGCAAGTGGGGCCCACCAATCCAATTGCCCAATCATATTATTTTACTAATTTCCAACTACTTTATATTGCATCGCTCTCATCCTTTACACTTCCCCACAACACAAACAGGATTTTTCTTCCCCTCTCTCGTTTCACTGTCAGAAAAAAAAACCTTTTCGATTTTCCGCAGAAACGATGGATCGGAATACCTGTTGTCTACTCGCTTTCGTCTGTCTAGTAGTAGCCACCGTCGGCGGCCAGTCTCCCGCCGCCGCACCAGCCGTCGCACCTACTGTAGCAGCTACTCCACCACCACCCACTGCAACCCCACCTCCGGCTTCAGCTCCCGTCTCAACTCCTCCGGCTGCGGCTCCAGTCTCCTCTCCCCCGGCTTCAGCTCCGGTTTCAACTCCTCCGGTCAGTACTCCGCCGCCGGCTGCGGCACCAGTGAGCACTCCTCCTCCTGCCGCGCCAGTGAGCGCACCACCGACACCCGCCCCAGTCCAGTCACCTCCATCTCCAGCTCCCGTAGCGGCGACTCCACCGATCGAGTCCTCTCCTCCGGCTCCGGCTTCCGCTCCACCCACCGAGCCGCCGGCTAAGGCGCCTGCTCCAAGCAAGAAGAAGAGCAAGAAGCACGGCGCACCCGCCCCTGCTCCAGAACTCTCCGGTCCACCCGCGCCTCCCGCCGGAGCTCCGGGACCCAGCGACGACTCCATTTCTCCTAGCCCTACGTCACTCGCAGATCAGGTACACACACACATACATTTTCTGTATTACACGCGCCGACGCGCTTCATCAGTAATGCAACTTCCAGATCTGGAGTGGTGACGTGTCATTATCGCCTTACATTCATTCATTCATACTGAAATACATATATAGACCGTTAAACTAATTAATAAACTAGGGTAGATTATCAAAACCGGTTCATTAATAACATTTGCTTTTCGGATCTCGAACCCGAACCCGAACCCGATTGTAGCGTAGTGTTCCGCGCCACGACATTGATTTAATGTTTTAGGACATTGTTGCATTGTTATTTGTTAACAAAAGCAACTTCAGAATCTTTGGGTAGTGTCTTGCTAACGTGAGCTTTGCAGTGTCGGCGCACGGTAGCAGGTCACAGCATAGTATTATAATATTTTCTAGGCGCATTTTAGCCTGAACTGTATTTTTCTTCTTCCTTCATCATGTTTTATGGGTTTATACTATGCTACACCCGGTGGAATACACCGGGTAGATCTTTACCATTCATATACACACAAACACACACACCCACATTGGTGTGTGTAGATCAACGGTAAAAAATCACCCGGTGTAACCTTCACCGGGTGTAGCATAGAAATAACCTGTTTTATGTGCATCAACGCCCTACAGCAAAACTAGAGGTTAAGAGTTGAGACCAGTAATAATGGCGGATCTGATCTCATTATTATATTAATTTTTTTTTAAGCCTTTGGCACATGACACGAGGTTGTCAGAATTAGCATCTACTATAATAATAATAATAATAAAATAATAAAAACGATGCTTAATCAACGTTACTAATTACAAGGTTAATTATGTAAATAGTAAAGGTTCAACGGTCAATTCATAGACTAGTAGATGTTCCTCCCATCTCAGCCCTTAATTTCGTCTGATTTTATTATTAATTAATACGGAAATACCGGATTGTAGAACTACATATATTTTAGGGCAAATTGCATGCGTCCACCCCTTGGCTAAGGTAAAATTATGAAAAAATCCTTATTATTTGGGTAATTACAACCATCCCCTAAACTATGTATTTCTTACGAAAGAAAATCTCACATTTAGTAGTTAAATTTGTCACAGTAACGGTGAAAGAGTAAGACAATACATAGTTAGGGGATGTTTGTAATTACTCAAACATGAGAGTTTTTTTTTGTAATTTAGTCTTATCTTAGGGGGTTGGCCGTAATTTACAATATACTTTGCACATGCATCCACATATATAATGTGTGTGATTATATATATATGTAAATTAAATGTAAAAATCCTCTTGTTGTATTTCATCTGGTGTATAAAGTTATTACGAAATAATTAAATTTTGGCATGAATTAATAATTTGGGAGTGTGTAAAATAAATAATTTAATAATACAAATGAAATAAATGTGGTTAAACATTTATTGCAGAGCAATGGTAGTGCAGAAAAAATAACAACGGTGCAGAAGCTGCTTGGAAGCCTTGCAATGGGAGTGGCCATGTTTGTCTTCCTCTGCTAGACAACATTTAGATTCCTCTTTTTTTTGGGCTGAAAGTACTATTCTACCCCTCCACTGCAGATGCGGCCTTAATTCGGACAGTTAACATTAAACTTTTACATTTCTTTTGTTTATAAATGTTTGTTGTTATCGGATCGGATCTTTGTTGCGGGGCTGTGATTCGGATCCGCTTAGGGATTTGCCACGTTTTGTCTCTCTCTCTCTCTCTCTTGTTTTCTTTTGGTAACTTCAGTGAGAGAGAGAGAGAGAGAGAGAGAGAGTGAGATTCTGATGGGGAGGCTTTTTCTACTTTTTTTTTTTATTATTCACTGCCATTTTGGATTCTTGCTTAGTTGATTGAATTTTATTCTATTGATTGGCATTTCTTAATTCTTTTTTTAATCTAAAAAAATCGAATATGCACCCGTTAAATGGTTATTTCTTATATGCTACACTTGAAAGAAAGTTAGGGTGCATTTGGATGGAGGGATTTGGGGGAGGGATTTCAAATCCATAATAATAAATCCCTCGGACTTGTTTGGATTGAGGGATTTGGAGATGGATTTCAAATCCCCACCCCTCCTTTTTAGTTGATTTTGGAGCAATAGTGATGGATTTCAAATGACTCCAAAATTGGAGTCATTTCAAATCCATTCCCCAAATCAAATCCCTCCCCAAATCTCTCCATCCAAATGGACCCTTACATCGGACGAATTTTTTAACGCACATCTCATGTGATATTCTCTTTTAGTTAATTGTACTTGAAAATTGAAGTTAGCTATTCAAAATCTTAATGCAATAGAATGACCTGAATATAAAATAAATCGTTTGAGTTAAGGTCAAATTACGAAAACTTCCCTTCTGTTAGGGTCGACTATGCATTGTCTTGAACGTCCTCCTTTACGATATTAAAATTACACACTAAATTGGGGATTTTTCGTAAGAAAATATATAATTGAAGGAGGTGGTCGTAATTATTCAAACAAGGGTTTTTTCTTAATTTGAATTTTTTTTTTTTTTTTTCTTTTGGAAGAAAATGCAAATTATTGATTATTGAAATAAGAAATAAAATAATAAATGTCAGCGGTTGCCACGTAGGACCAGAGAAGCACATGGCGTATTAAATGCTGGAAAAAATATAAATGTTAAGATAGGTATGTGTGTGGTGGGTATACTGTTCAACGTTATACGAAGCTTACCACATGTTTCTACTTTTGCGTAGCCATGTTACCCACTCACTCAACCTCCGCCATAGTTGTTTCTCTCACTTCTCAGATCGGAGCCACTCATTTTTTTTTTATGTGTGGAGAGATTCTTTGATACGATATTCATTCGCACTGTGATTGCAGAATGAATTTTTAAGGGGCAATTTTTTTTTTGGGGTTGTTTTGTTTTGGAGTTTTTAAAATGGGGTTATTTTTGAAGTAGTAATTAAATTGGTGTTGGCCGCCACCGGGAACGGCGGCATCGGACGGAGACGCCACCGCTGGTGGCGGCACCGGGAGGAGACGCCGCCACTAGTGGCGTCTTCTACTTTTTAAATTAATATTTTAATATTTTAATATTTTAATATTTTAATATTTTAATATTTTAATATTTTTTAATATTTTATTATTTTATTATTTTATTATTTTAATATTTTTTAATATTTTATTATTTTCTTATTTTTTAGTATTTTTATTATTTCTTAATATTTTAATATTTTCTGATTTTTTTAATATTTTCGGATTGTTAATTTTTTTTACAAATAAAACAATTCTAACTACATTTTATTAAATATATTACATTTTATCAATTAGTGTTAAATTAATCAGTGCATATATTTATCTAATCAACAAAAAAAAATATGTAGACAAAAACAAAAGGAGTTTCTAGAAAATAAAAGAGTTATATAAAATAAATAGGTCCAATAAAAGAGTTATATAAAATAAATAGGTCCAAAATAGCTAGAGAATCGTAGATAGACCAACTAAATCTGTAAATATGGGTACCTGAGATGTAGACGCACCGAACATATCCATAAATCCCTGTGTAGTAGAACTATTTATTTTATATAACTCTTTTATTGGACCTATTTATTTTATATAACTCCTTTATGGACCTATTTATTTTATATAACTCT